AATAAGTATGCCTATTTTCCAGAATCTCAGTGGTTCTCGAAGTGAACTGATGGCCGAGTAGTCAGTTGGATCTCTTAGCTTAGTTGATAGGAAGCTGGAGTTTGGATCCTACCACTTTCAATTATTCACCATTATATCAATGTGATAAAGGGTGATCAAGAAATGGTGTCTATCGACTAATGACACAGATAGGCTTGAATTGGTTATTCCATGGAGAATATTTGGTATTAGGCTGTTTACCTGCTAGTCTTTAATGCAGTCTTCATATTTTTTATAAATCTGGTATATTATTACTGTTGTACTAGAAAACTTTATAGATTACTTAAGACTATTTATTACTGACTGATTGAAATCAGTATTTGTGTACCACTCACATCAACCGATAGTCTTTGCTATTCACATCGAAGTGATCTAAAGGCTGGATAGCCGTTTCGCTCGTTTGAGACTGATCTAACAATCGGTGTACCTGGATTATATAGATTACAGTTCCCTAATATTTAGTGATAGGATTTACTTTTAGATAACTGACAGCTAACATTGCCTCATGAAAGAACTTTAGTATTACTAAAATTAAGCGGTAGTTATCCGTAGAATCCTAGAGCTGCATTGACGCCTTATCTGAGACACATAATCTGGATATATTTGTATTTCAGCTAATATCACGGAAACTAGAACTCAATGTCAACCATTTAAATCCGGATATTATTCTTTGCCTAAGAAATATGATGAATACATTTTAATTGATTTTTAGATTTTTCCGTCGATTGATTGGACCAAAGTGCTCGGTCTCAGGTTGACATGTCGGCTTCTTGTGCAGATGCTTTGACGATGTCTGGGCATGTTATTAGAATTTAATTGGTGGATAGTGACCAGCAGGGGAATCCAGGACAACCAGCATTTCGTCCTATTTGGGACTCGTCAGCTGGATGTACTTGCACTCCCCAGTGAGTGGTGATGTTCCCACCGAGACTCGAACCCACTGGCCATAGTTTCAAACGCCAAAGCGTTATCCGCTAGACCACTCGGGCCACAAGCCTAGGTGGGAAAATCAACACTCACAGAGAAATTCAGGGACATCCAGCTGACGACTCCCAAATAGGACGAAATGTGCATCCTGGATTCCACTGTTAGTCACCATCCACCAATGAAATAATGAATACATATTAGAGAAATTCATATTAAGATGTTACATTGAAAATGTGCAACACATTAATTATCATCATTTTCTAACTACCATTATTATTTCCGATAAGTACAATAACTTTACTGTAATGTTTGAACTTTTACTGCTGTGAAGAATAGATTATGAACTCATGTCAAGAATCTTAGTCTTACGATAAACAAGTATTTTTCGTTCTCGATGATGCCATGATTTTTCAATAATAATAATAATAATAATTTGCTTTATTCCAGAAACAGTACTAGTGGTACAGTGTGGAATTTTCAGCACATATCTACAATATTTGCATCTAATTTTATCCAACGTTTAAAAGGAGTGTTTCAAAAAAATATAGGTATAAAGACAACAACAGCAAAAAATCAACTACAAAAATCACAAACTAATAAAAAAAATGCGAAAAAATACCAAGAAATAGATAGGAAAATAAACAGCATATAATAATAACTCAGTATTGGGTTGTGGAAGCTATGATATGATTATGCATGGTGACAGTAAAGCTATAGACATAGAAGAAGTTATGAAATGATATCTAAGAATGTTTATCGCCAAGATGATCAGTTAATTTGGTTGAAACAACACTAAACAATCATAAAATAACATTTCAGGGTTGTCGTTTTGTTTTGTATTGTCAGGTTGAATGCAGTCTTTGTAGTGGAAGTGTGAGTAATCTTGCATAATACAAAATTTTAAGGTGGTGTTAATGGCGTTCACAACCAATGACTGTCAGTTTAATATTGCCGAAAAAAATAAATAATAAAAAAAAACAATCACAAAAACTAATAATTACATGATAGTTAATGACAGGACAATTTTGTAATACTCATAGTGCTAATATAGTCGGAACGAGCAGACATACAAAAGAAGGAACACAGTAAAGTGCAAAAGAGTAAGCCAATGTTAATAATTTAGGTAGCTAAGTATGTTTAAGAAGGTGTTCACTATAGAATACAAAATAAGAGAGAAATAAAAGAGCCTAAAATTATGTTATTAACAACAAAGCAAGTCATAGGTTTCGCGCTTAACATTTATGCATGTATTGACATGATAATCTGAGTTGACAGTTTTGATTGGTTTATTTATGGCTTAAATGTCTGAGGGTTTTGTAAAGTAGTTGTTGTCATCCCGGTGGCCGTTTTTTCCAACCCTGAATTATATATGTGTAACGACAGAAGGCAAGGGTCAGGCAACAGATCATTTATTAAGGAAATCAACGCGTATTTATATATTTCCATGTACATTATTATGGATATTTAAGTAAACAAACACAGTCTTCCGATTGGTTGTTTCTCACGTAAAGTTAATCTTTCATCCCTTTGTGACTGTTTCTTGAATAATTTAATAATTCTTTTCAACGAGTCTCTTCGCTGAATATTGTGTTTCTTGAATGTCAAATCCTCTATATGTTAACTGTATCCGCCTACACAAAGTCTGCTGTAGTCGGTTTTGAATCAATCTTTGTTCACATTTTCTCACGACAAATCTTGAGAACGTAAATATTGACGTAAATTACTGTCTACCAATTTGGCTAGTAGACAGCTCTCACCACATATCTATCTTAGTGTGAGAGATACAATTTCAGAGGTGATCAGTTGGTTAAAGTGTCATGTTCTGGAGGCACATTCTGGTCACGTTAGACGAACCAGCAATTCGGTATCCCTTTGTGATAACGTTTAGTTCAGTAGTATTTTCTAATAAGGATACTTTTGCACAACATACTACTTATGCAGCTGAAAGAATTTAAGTTCAAACGCATTTGCAATTTTTATTGTTTAATCCATTGAAAGCAGTAGAGCAGAACAATGAATTAATGTTGTAACACTACTAATGAGTTCCTTAAGCCGTTTAAAAATCACACTTCTCTAAATGCCAAACAGTCAGTTTCACCTTTAGGCATAAATCTGACCTAAATAAACTGGTTAGTACTCACGAGGTGTGCAACATCGACGGCACTGAAATAGAAACCAAGTCGGAAATCAAATAATTAGGCGTCATTCTATCTGCTGATCTCTCCTGGTCATCTCATATCTTGGCGATTTCTAAGAAAATATTCCGTCTTACCCTCTACATCAAGAAGTTAAGACATTCTGGTATAACCCAACCCTTACTCCTACAATTCGTTAACTCTCGCATCCTGCCTATTTTTCTCTACTATTCTCACCTAGTTTTTCCCGGGCTACTGAAGAAAGACTATACCTTATTACGCAGGATGTTAAAGGTTGTCAGCAGGGTAAACAACGTGCCACTTAACCAGCTTGTTAATATTCTGGTCGACAGGCACATGGACTCATGTGAGAAATGGGCCAAATCCATTTTATCTAACTCACACCACCCTCTTCACTCACAACTCTCCCCTTGCATCTCATCAGGTATAACCAGAAGCCTATAAAGAAAACTACATGCTCGCACCAGCAAGTACAAAAACTCAACCATACCCTACTTAGCTCGTGTTCTGTGCGATAAAGAAAACATTAGGCGTGATACCTATAACTTATTAAAAATATTCAGTAGAACAACTGAATCTCATCTTTCCAACTCATATCATTTATAGGTGCAAAGTTTTCGTTCTTTCTTTTCCTTTTCTCTTTTTTTCTCTTTTTTTTCGTTGTGTGCTGCTTTGTTTCTTTCTCTCGCTTACACTAGTTAATAAGACAGCTCCCACTTTTCTAACAACTTCAAACACTGTTCAGCTTTACCTTTGCTACTGACATGCCAATATGTTGTTGTCATAATGAACTGAGATTTCCTTAATCTATGTAGAATTCTATTTATTGATAATGTACTAACTGAATGCAATGCTGTAGTAAAAATGCTGAGAATTCTATTCTGTATCACAAGTACTGTTTTGGAATAAAGCAAATTATTATTATCATTATTATTAACCTGAATTCTAGCAATTTAGTCTTTATTTCAAGATTATTTGTTTTCTATCTACTTGTGTTAGATATTTATCGATTAATAACATCAGACTAACTGATCCTTTCCGGTTAAATCAAACACTAATTTTACTAATATTATAAATGACTGAATGAAAGGTATTTACTGCTCATCTGAGTTGTTTGTGAAACAGTCAAAAGTGCTCAAGTGTTGGTTTGCAGAAATTGATCTGATCGGTTTCAAATCAGATCACAAAATAATATCATTTACAGTACCATTGAAAATAAGGGGCAGCTAGAAAGTTGTCTCGTCCTAGTTAAGGACTCTTCGGTAGTAGGCACCTATGCCGTCCATCGATAGGGATCGAATCCATGACCTCCAGGCTGCGTTGTGAGACCGTTGAACCTCTACTATGGAATTCAATAACTCATGAGTTTGATTGGATGGAGGAAACCCTGGAAGTACTAAACAAATGTTTCGTCCTAGTTCGGGACTCTTCAACAGTACGCACCCACCGGGGTTCGAACCCAGGACCTTACTGGTGACAAGTCCCAAAGTAGGACGAAACAGCTCTCCAGTACTACCAGCTGGTTTCCCAGTGGTTCTCTAACAGATGTCAGCTCATGATGAAATCCTGCATTCAATCGAACTAAAGCCCTACAAAACCAATACTTGATAACTCATGAGTTCTAACTTCTGTTAGTTAGCTACATATAGTATCATCACGAACGACTATTATCAGTGAGTATTTATCCCACCAGTTAACCTGGTAGACAGTAAATTTATAATAGTGCATGAATTCGAGTCTTACACCATAAATGACAACAATTACTCATTCGATACATGTCTTACTAAATCAGTATCTTTCCTGTTTGTTTTTTCTTTCGTTTTCTGCATTCAGCGTGTTTCTAACTATCTCATACTGAGTTTGGCTATAGCAGATTTAATGGTGGCTACCTTGGTTATGCCTGTTAGTGCTTTGAATGAAGTATCAGAGAAATGGTGGCTCGGTAAGTGGTGACAAATATTTTTTAAATTAAATTTTGTTATTGATTTAAATGTATGTTTAGAAGCTATTTTTTTTGTATAGTATGCTGTCAGATCATATCTGAAATGACATCATAACTCAATACATGAATAAAATGAGTCTCACTCACAGTTATTTTTAAGTAATTCGCTATCTACAGAAGGTGTGGATTAAAATTATGCGCTTCCTTTTAAGGGGTACCTAAGATGAGCATACTTTCGATTGACTCAGACAGATACTAAAAGATCTGGAATTCCCGCATGATCCATGTTCTTGTCGTGCACATCTGACTATCTCCAAAGAAAATGAAACACGTTGTCAAAAGAAACAGAGAACATAGGACTTCTGCGGAACAAATAGACGATGGTAGTGATGAATAAGCCTAACCAACAACAACATGTACCAATAACTTAATTCGACTCAGATTTTTCCATCGAAATGCTTGGTCCCAAGTTGATACGTTGGACTCCTTGTGCAGATATCTTGACCTGAGACCGAGCACCTTGCCCCAGTCAATCGACGGGAAAATCAGCAAATTGAATCAAACAATTAATAACACGAGTTGCACAGGAGGTGGCTATCGTGACCCCAGTGGTCTAATGGTCCAGTCTTGGCATTTGGCACTAGGGTAACTGGGTTCGAGCCTCGGTGGGAACACTATCACCCACTGAGGAATGCAGATGCATCCAGATGACGACTCTCAAATGGGACGAAATGCATTTCCTAGATTTTACTGATAGCCAGCATCAACCAACGAACTCCAAAATATCATTGACCATCAAAAGGAGAAATGTAAAGTAAATAATTCCTTTTTATTTACAATACCTGAGCAGCATCGTTTCAACAACGGAAAACACGGATGACCACATCAGAAACAACCAGGATCAGCAAGTTAAGGTGAACTTTCGTTACACTAGAATCAGTGTGAAAATTTAATGTACTTAGAGAGAGAAACAAGGCTCGAACCTTCACTAGTAATAGAAAGACGGTGCTTTTGCATAATTCGAAGACTTGAGGTATCACGAAGAGCATTTCTGACAGCCTACCTCAGGTTTTCAACAATGGCTTCCCCCTCTGCTCCATACTGGAAATCAGGTGGCCAGATGGGAAAGGATTAACAAACTCTGACAATGAACCATTTGGGAAACTGTTAAACAAAAAAGAAAATGAAGACAGATTGGATATGCACTAAGAATAAAATCATGGGCCAGGCCGTCGAGCGGAAAGCGAATGCGAGGTGACAAGCTGGTTGTGAGTCTAATTGTTTCACTGAACAGTAAAGGGATGATGGGCTTCTTAAACCTTGTGTTCCACATGGAGCCCATGAGAAAAATAACATTGATAATGTCTTCTGTATAAATTTTAAAGAATTTTTGATTTCAGAATCTTTTCCAAGCCCAGAGCCACACAAACTATACCGTCTTCAGCACGTTTATTCACAAAGCCGACCATTCACCCTTGCTTAGACGAAATACATTTTCAAAAGAATGGATACTGAACAAAGAGTACTCTTTTCGATAAATTCATCATCAGGCTCTACAGTTATATATACATTATAGTAAATGAGTGAATTAATGTTATGAACAACATTATTGTTTAAATAACATCGAATCAATAATACTGATAGATTACAACTCAGTAGCATCCACATAAAATAAGCTGAATGTCAGAAAAATTAGGAAAGATAATATTACAAATTCATGAATTTATAGTCTCTACTGAAGACCGGTCATGGCAGTAGTAGGGGCTGGACTTGCTTCTTTTGAGCACAGAGCACTAGTTGTTTGAGGCGAATTGCAATAGCTTCTGCTGTCTGGAGTATGCGGTGCTTCGATGATTTTGGCAATTTATTAGGCATTCGGTAGATTATAGAGAAGGATTCTTCGGCGCTGACTTTGTGACCGGTTTGCACCAAATGGTCCAATATCGAACTGTTAATGCTTTTCACTAAACCTTTACTTAGCCATGGCGGGAGATGTTCTCACTATATTAAATGTATTCAGAGCTTACATTCTGCCGTGTTTTTTATTTTATTTTGAATCTCATCGAACATGTACTTACTTGCGTGTTTCACAATGCATTAATGATTAATGTCGTTCGTTAGAATGTATACTTCAGAGATGTTACTGCATGTTCTTACTTCATATTGAAAAAAATATGTACAGGGAACACTTTTAAATCATTCATTTTAATTTTTGTCATGGTAGTTTTTGAAGCGGCAAATTCGCTTTTTACTAGAAATAATATTTTTTTTAAAAAGATTATAAATGGGGCTAGCAATGTATTCTTTGTCATTTAATTTATCTTATTGTAGACACAGATAGCCCCGTGTTCAACATGACATTATGCTTGTAATGTGTGTCCATTTAATATGAGAAGTACAAGCCAAGCATCAAATAAGCGTACACAATTCAAAAACTCAATTACATAATCACTGAAATAAAACACACATAATTCTTAGGATTTTTTTCTTTTGGTTGTCATTATAGCTTCTTGATTGGACGCTAGTAATTAGTGTGCTGTGTCTAATTGTCTATTTGATACAGAATAAATTCTATCAGGCAAGTTTGCAGCCATACCACTAGGTGACTCCCCACAACAGCATCGTTTCATCATTAGATAAAGGTACCAAATACGTCCGCTGCACGTTTCTCGGCTTCACTTCTGCTTTCGACTCTGTACCTAGATGTCTCTTGCTAAATAAGCTCCCTTTGACAAAAACTGAGTCTTGGGTCACTAACTGGCTGCATTCCTACTTCCCTAACAGAAAGCAGTACACCGTTTACAAGGGTAAATCCTCCTCTGTTGCGCTCACTGAAGCTGGTGTCCCCCAAGGTGCTGTATTCTCCCCACTTCTCTTTTCTTTCTCTCTACATGACTTGCCATCTTCAAATGATATTAATTTTGTTAAATATGCTGACGACCTGACTGTATCTTTGCCAGTCAAATGTCAAAGTGAGTGCTCAAAACTAAATGGCTTTCTGTCAGAAATCAGCCAGTGGTCCAAGGAAAACGGTCTTACCTTAAACCCCTCCAAATGCCAAACAGTCAATTTCACTTTTAGGCATAAATCCGACCTATACAAACTGGTTGGCTCTCACGAGGTATGCAACATCGACGGCACTGAAATAGAAACCAAGTCGGAAATCAAATAATTAGGCGTCATTCTATCTGCTGATCTCTCCTGGTCGTCTCATATCTTGGCGACTTCTAAGAAAATATTCCGTCTTACCTTCTACATCAAGAAGTCAAGGCATTCTGGTATAACCCAACCCTTACTCCTACAATTCGTTAACTCTCGCATTCTGCCTATCATTCTCTATTGTTCCCCCTTAGTTTTTCCTGGGCTATACCTTATTACGCAGGATGTTAAAGGTTGTCAGCAGGGTAAACAACGTGCCACTTAACCAGCTTGTTAATATTCTGGTCAACAAGCACATGGACTCATGTGAGAAATGGGCCAAATCCATTTTATCTAACTCACACCACCCTCTTCACTCACAACTCTCCCCTTGCATCTCATCAGGTATAACCAGAAGCCTATAAAGAAAACTACATGCTCGCACCAGCAAGTACATAAACTCAACCATATCCTACTTATCTCGTGTTCTGTGTGATAAAGAAATCATTAAGCGTGATACCTATAACTTATTAAGTAGTCAGTAGAACAACTGGATCTCGTCTTTCCAATTCATATCATTTATAGGTACAACATTTTCTTTCTTTCTTTTCCTTTTCCCTCTCTCTTTTTGTTTCCGTTATGTGCTTCTTTGTTTCTTTCTTCCGCTTACGCCAGTAAATATGACAGCACCTACTTTTCTAACAACTTCAAACACTGTTCAGCTTTACCTTTGCTACCAACATGCCAATATGTTGTTGTCATAATGAACTGAGGTTTCCCTAATCTATGTAGAATTCTATTTATTGATAATGTACTAATTGGATGCAATGCTGTAGTAAAAATGCTGAGAATTCCATTATGTATCACAAGTACTGTTTTGGAATAAAGCAAATTATTATTATCACGGTGCGATGTGAATTCTTGATGTTAGATGACTGGAGGCAATCGGCCACAGGAGGCCTACCAACTAAGTTTAGTGCTAGTTGACACTTACCAGTCAGCAAGAAGGCATATCTGCAGCTGCCTTGAAGGAAATTATGTCCCTTCTGAGACTGGAACGCGTGTTACCCAGTGGTGCAGTCAGATACGTTACTAATGAGCTATTTGGACCAAGGCCGAACACCTAACACTATGTTCAAGTGTTGGTTTGTAGGGATTTGATTGGTTACAGGATTTTCATCATGAGCTGACATAGGTTAGAGAACCATTGGAAATCCTGGGAGTACTGGATAGCTGCTTTGTCCTAGTTTGGCACTCTTCATCAGTATGCACCCATCGGGATTCGAACCCAGGACCTTCTGGTTACAAGGCGAGCTCGTATACCATTCAGCCACTGGGACCCGATCCAATGGTCCATAAATTCCCGCTTCTGCTAATTCACGACATAGCGCGACCACTAGCCAATGTCTTCGGCGAGTATTTGTCCTCACACCCGACCTGCAGCACCCTACTGGTCACGACTTCTCACTAGAACCCCAGGCAACTACCTACCTGAATAGGGCAATAACATTATGGCTCTTTAGATGGATGAATTAATTGTCAGGTTTACATTCTCTTTTTAGACGATAACCTCAGTGCTTACTTTTAACAGAACAAATACTTCATTCCCGACACCATAAGCTATATATCCTAACATGAAATAATGAAGGTACAACTTTGAGGCTTGTTGCCTTGATATGACTATAAAATTGACTGGGAGAATCCATTCTTTGAAATCTGCAGATTTTGAAATCTTCTTTAAATGAAATGCCCGCCTACTTTTGGCTGACCTTGAATGTGGTTAACTTTTTTGGGAGATTCTCTTTTCAGACTGCTGTTTTGATGTTAGTTGGACAAAAAGTGATGGTCAAATGACTAGGCTT